ATAAAAAAAGGGCCAGAAATTCCAAAGAAAAAGGCATCCAAAGACTAAAGTTGTCACAAAATTCCTATTGCTGCAGTACGTCAATCTTACCAATGAACAAGAGAGATACTGGATCACATTTACAAGTTATGTCACATCTTCAAAACTGGATAGTACTCTGCAAAACACTGAAAATATTGCATAGGCAACTATGAGGTGATACAGAGCAGAGACCAGTGTGGAAGTATTACATATAATATTTGAATCTCAAAACAATAAACTCATGGAGAGACAGTATACAGGGACTGGGACAGAGCAAGGGCTGAACCGTGGCTTTGAGGTAATGTCACCATATAGACCTCAGTGGCCAAAGCCACAGTTACGTTCATAACAGTGTTCAGAGGCTCACTCACAATGCTAGAGTACAGAGACTGGTTGTGATATCACTCTGAAGCGGAGGAGCATTCTTCAGTTAAAATGTTTTTACTATGGAACACGTATCAGGATTTTGTGCCACATACAGGCTTAAACTGCAGAGCTCAAATGCCACAATAGGCCTATCTAGTTAGTGGATCATGAACTAGAATGACCATCATGACTGCTTTCTTAGATTATAATCTAATCATAATTATGGATCCAATATTTTGCCCACTACAAGTCAACAAAACACCAAGAATACACCTTGATACTCAAAAAAAAAACAGTTGCTGAGAGCAGGAGGGGTATAAATAGTTGGAGTCACTATGGGCAACAGCAAGGACAAATGGAGATAATACTCATTATGCGTTTGTGAATGCAGCAATGACAGGGAACTTCCTCACAACAAAAGGCAAAAACAGGGAGTGAAGAAATGTCTATTCAGATGTCCAGAGAGTAGAGCAAAAGTAAACAAGTTGTTTCCTCAGTGTACACTAGTCCTTAGAGATGAACTTGGGCATCTTCCAAACTCACCTCTAACCCAAACTATAAAATTCCCATTTTTTGTATTCCAATGAGCTGTTGGCTGGGTCATTGCCAACCAGCATCCCCCTGCACAGCTTACGTGAGCTGACCTGTACCGCAGCTCATTGGAGCTTGAGTAAGGGTCGGTTCACACTATAGAAATGCAGTCCAGATGCCTTCTGTATATGTTTCTGCATGCACGTTTTTGGCACGTGCCGGTGCATTTTGTATGCGTTTTTGTCGCGTTTTTGATGCGTTTCAGTTAATTTTTTCCCCTCTCTTTTTCTTCAGTTTAAATATGGACATATGTTCCAATGTGTTTTTGGTGCGTTCTGGTGCGTTTTTGATGCGTTTTACCGCGTTTCAGTACAGTTTTGTTCAGGAAAAATGCAGCCTGTTCTACTTTTTTTTCTGCATCCAGAACGCACTGGAACTGCAAGCACTGATGTGAACTATGACATTGACAACCATATAACCTACTTTCTGTGCATTTTGGATGCAAAAAAAAGCAACAGAAACACATGTAACTGGCCCTTAGGGCTACAGATGAGTTTAGAGGATGCCCAAGGGCATAATGGGCATAATATCAAGCCACCACGCTGTGCTACTCAGAGAAGAAAAAATTGTCTTGATCATTGTAGATTATGGTTACCATGATGAATACTGACAATTGCAGAGCCCTCTAGACTTTAACAGCAACAGCTAGGTATTTCTTAGCTTATCTTTGCTGTGGTACCACCCACATGCCTACTGAGTAAGCTATAAAGCACATTCATGCCAGACATTCTACATGAACTAGTGAATTCTGTGCAAATAGCTCTATGGATCAAATAACAGAAGGCTTGGTGATTGCCCCAGCATGCTAAGTTTAAAATGTCCCTAATGCCATATATCTGATACAGAGAGTAGGTGGCTCTCCCATGCAAAATCCTTGTTTCCTGTTTCTTGGGCAAGCCTGGACCTCCAGGCAGAGCATTTGAATGTTAAACAGAATTCTAAGAATGGTTAGCAAAAGGATAACAAGTATGACATATTTTAAATAGAGACTCTAAAAGCATAAAATCAAATATTTTTTTTTTTTAATAACTACATAGCCTAAGTGATGATATAAACTAAATCTGCACTTTCTAATATCACTACCTGCTGCCTTATCTATATCAACAGATATATATAATTTTTTTACACCCTCATACAGCACAAAGTGTACAACAGTGCTAACTGTACTACTAAATTAAATCCATAATTCAGTGCTCAAAATACATAATAAAGTGTTTTTTTTTTTATTCTTTATTTTAGATTTAAAAAAAAAAATGGTGTGTGCAATAAAACGTAGCAAGAATAATATTGCTCATATACAGTACAGCTTGATCATTTCAATTAAAGGATAAGTATCTTTTAACCAAAAATAATAAATGTTCTTTTTTTGCAGGTAAAACAATGTGCATTTACTATTTTTCATTTTTGGAGCCTCTGTGGCTGTTAGCTTGTAGTTTTGCAATGCTTTAAAGACTGTCAGAACTTGTAGTTTTCCCATTCACAGAATACGGTGAATGAGTGATGCGGCCGGAGAAGCGAAGCCCTGCTTTTTACACTTTGACAGCTAGTGGCAGGAGATCTCCCGCTAGCTGTCAAACAGGGGCATCGGGGGGGTGGAGGATGGTCCTGTCATAACATGTAACATGTTACGAAAGGTGAACATGTGCTTTAACCTCCCTGGCGGTATTCCCGAGTGTAGCTCGGGGTAAAGTTTCTGTACCAAAAGCGGTAACCCCGAGCTACACTCGGGCTTACCATGCGGCGCTGCACAGGGAGTCCCTGCAGAGCTTACCTTGTCCTTCGCTCCCGCCATGTGTCCCCTGCAGCGTCCTCGGCCATCTCCTCCGGATGATGCCGGCATCCGGCTTCTGTGTTCCAGTCCCTGTGACGTTGGGACATACGGGCGCCGCCAGCAGCGGGAAATTAAAAATTTTTTAAAAATGTAATTTTTTCAAAACAAATTTTACATAGTAAAACATTGCTGTTTCAAACCATTTCACACACATTTTGTCCTGAGTGCTTTGTCCTGTCCCCTGTCTGCATTTTGACTTTTCTTTCTCCCTGGAAACTTAGAAAAGTCCATGGCGTCCAAAAAGCGTCCCTTTAGGTCAAAAGCGGTTTTAGACCGGCTAGAGAACAGCGATAGTAAATCAGAACCACTTGCAGAATTGAGTGATAATGATTCGTGGAGAAATTCATCATCAGACACTGAAAACAATTTTGCGACTTTGCTCAGTGATGTGCGAACTTGGCGCTATATTTAAAATGTCAGTGTTTTTGGTTTGATTATATTATTGAATTAAATGTATTATTATTATATTATTATTTTTTATGATTATTAATTAAATTATAATTTATGATTTTGTGTTTCAAATTTTATCATACCCGGGATGTTTAATAGACTCTTGTTCAGACAGATTTCAGTGCGTTATTCTTAAATATTACAGCCTACAATAAAAAAAACTACATATTTCCATGCAAAATAATGGTACCGCTTTCAGCACCAAAAATCTGAAATAATCATACCGCCAGGGAGGTTAAGGCAGATCTCATATATATGCGCTATTGGGTCTGTGTATACTATTAAGAATTAAAAAAAAAAAATTTTCATTTAGTATCCACTTGACCTCCAGAAGATTTACCCCTCTTCATGACTAGGCCGTTTTTTGCTATACGGCACTTCATTATTTTATCTGACAAATGCAGTCATGTAACGTTGTACATAAATTAAATTTAAGTCTTTTTTTTCCCTACAAATAGAGCTTTTTTTGGTGGTTTTTGATCACCACTGTTTTTTTTTATTTTTTTGCACTATAAACAAAAAAAGATCAACAATTTTGAAAAAATAACTATATTTTGTTTGCTTCCTGCTATAAAACATTTAAAAATTTTTTAAATCTAATTTCTTCATAAACTTAGGCCAAAATGTATTCTGCTACATATTTCTGGTAGGAAAAAAAAAATCCCAATACTTGTATATTGATTGGTTTGCACAAAAGTTATAGGGTCTACAAACTGGTATATATACTGGAATTTTTTTCTTTTTATAATATTACGTGCTAAAAATATACACTGTCACTGTATTATTGACACTGACTGGGAAGGAGTTAAACATCTAGGGCAATCAAAGGGTTTAACTGTGTGCCTAGCCAGTTATATGTATACACAGTGTAGTTTTTTTTTTTAGGTAGTTTGCTGGGTTTTATTCCCTGCTTTGCAGGGAAACAAAATCCAGCACATCGCCGCTGACAGGACAAAGCTCTGCCTTATTTACATAAGCAGAGCTGTGTTTTGTCTCTCTTCTTGCTGATCAGCATGTGCCAATGGTCATCAATTGGCTGGCACATACTAATCAGCTTCTGCTGTGATTAATCACAGCAGAAGCGGCATTAAAAGAAATTTGCCCATGCCCCCTAAACCAGGAAGTACAAAATCACGTATCTATAGGTGATTTTGATTTTACAAGGCAGTCGCTCTGTAGCAGTACAGCTGCTATAGGTCGGTCCTTAACCACTTTCAGTCCGGACACTTTTACCCCCTTCCTGTCCAGGCCAATTTTCAGGGCTGTCATACTTTGAATGACAGTTGCGCGGTCATGCAACACTGTACCCCTATGAATTTTTTTAGAATTTTTTTTGAGACAGATAAAACTTTATTTTGGTGGTATTTATTCACCACTGGGATTTTATTTTTTTGCTATATAAATGAAATGTCCAAAAATTTTGAAAAAGGTGTTTTTTCTTATAAAATTTTGCAAATAAATAATATTTCTTCAGAATTCTTGGCCAAAATGTATTAGGCTATCTTTTTAGTAAAAACAAAATAACTCCAATTAGTTTATAACTAAAAATTAGAATTTTTTCAAACTTTTTTTATATGTTTATTTAATTTTTTTATAATATTATTTATGGTTTTTATTTTATTTTTAAACATACTGTCACCCTAGCAGTACAGTGTCTGCTACTTGTGGGGGGTGATGAAGATTTTTTTTTTTTTTTTTTTTTTTTTACACTGATTGCTTTTATACCCCTAAAGGTTGTAAGATCAATCACTTCTCCTCTCTGGCTGCATTCTTGCAGCCATTGAGAAATACTGTGAGAGCTGTGATTGGTCACAGCTTGTCACATGGTACAAGGCTGTTGTGAATAGCCTTGTGCCATGTGATCTCTGTGATCATTCACAGATTTCACTAGTAGAAAGCAATTATGTCAGGAAATGACATCTTGCTTATTTACTATTCATGTGATCACTGATTGGCCAATCAGTGATCACATGATCGGGACCTCACACACAGGTCCCGTACAGCAATCAGTGTTCCACTGTGCCCGGAGGACACAGCAGGCACCGGATCGTGGTGCCGCACGCTCCCAGGGAGCGTGCACAGGCTAAAATGGCAGGCGCCAATTATGAACGGCAACCCGCCCCTGCACTGCTCCCGTCCGGCTGTTTATATAAATGGGCCGGACAGGAAGTGGTTAACTGGGTATCAGTGTGAGTTAGTGTAAGTGTGTTTTAGGTAGGATAAAAAAGAGCAAAATGTGCACTGTTGTTTCTGAGCCCTACTATGGGAACAAACCACAAATAATATACACGTATGTGGTATGGCTGCAATTGTCAAGAGGAGGGGAATTAGTTTCAGATTGTTCCTTGGTTTTAGGTCATGGTAATAGCAAGTAATTTACAGCTACATTTAAAATAATTTTTTTTTTAATAATTTGTGCCAGTTTTCCTTTATATAAAAAAAGAGGAGATATATATTACACTTTACCACCAATTGAAAGTCCAATTTGTCCTGGAAAAACAAGGATACATACTAAACTGTATGCTGCAACTGTCCCATGTTGGCTCAAAGTTTAAGAATGGAGTGATCACGTGATTGCTGTTCGCTCAGCTCTTGGTCTGTTCCAAGCGGAGAGTGGTGACTTGCGGTTACTGCTCTCCGCTCTGCTTCTCCAGTACTGGAGCACCAGGCTGGGGGGGGGGGGGGAACAGCTGGCTCTCAGCCACACACTCAAATGTGGAGTCAGCTGTCAATCAGACTGCAGGGTGGATCCCAACAATATTGCCAGGATCCTTCCTGAGCCTGCCCCACTCTGCCTGCTAACTGACTCTGGGTCAAAAGAGGACAAAAGTTAATGTACTCCTCTGACCCACATAAGAAGTACAGCTAAAAAAGCTTTGGCCATACTTCTCTTTTAACTGGCTCTAGTAACAATACATTATTAAAGTGTTCTAGTAAAAAAGTAACAGTGCTTCAACCTTCAGATTAAAAATTTCATTTGTTCTATGCATCAACACTGTGTCTTGCCAAGCACTGTCGCTTTACTAAAGTGCTTTAATGAGGAATTTTTGCTGAAGCATTTTATAATGGATTTTTGAGCACTGAGTATTGATCAATTATGGATTTAATTCAGTAGCACTATTGCACAGTTAGCATTGTATTAGAGCATTAAAAAAAATGTACCAAAATTTGTTCTCATGCACGTGTAGCACCCTCTAGTATGCTACTAGAGTAGTGTAGTGTATTATAGGCAAAATCATTGTGTGTGACACATGATAGCTGTGTGAGTCATGTAATTAAGATTTGGTTACTGCAGATCAGCTGGATGACTCAACAGGTTGTGGCTCTGTCGCCTCCTTCTGACTCTGGAGGACCATAGAACCTTCCAGAAGTCAGTTAGAAGGAAAGGGTGGAGGCTTAATTTGCATATTCATGGAGGGGTCTGGCCAATTCCAGGTTTGGAGACCCTGGTAGAGTGGTGGACTGGCCTATAAATATGGGAGAGTCAGGCTGACGGAGGAGCTGGGTGGAAGATGGGGTGCTGAGGAGACTATTGTTGCCTAGGAGGGGTCCCCTAGGTCTGAGGGGGGGTTGGGCTCGGGCTGGCTCAGGAGGATACATTCAGCAAAGAGGCGTCAATGGGATCAAGGCCTGGAGCAGCAGGGAGAAAAAAGGACAGTGTGAGTACAGTAGCACAATCTGGGATTTACAAGCAGAAAGACTGCCACATGTAGCAAGATTTCTAAGGACAGCACTGGGCTCATTTCCTAATCCTTGTCCCAGGAGATCTTCTGAGAAGCCAGGAGGGCTTGTAGTATTTGCAGGCTGTGGAGCCAGGAGCAGATCTACAGGGGGAGATGAGACATCTCTGCATGTAGCTACAAGAAGAAAAACTTATTTTTGAGGGGCTGATAGTTCCTCACCCATAAAGGACAGCTGTTACTGATCCAAAATGACTGACAGCTTCCAGGAAAAGAACAGTCCAGGATCTGCCTTTGTACATTATTACTATTATTATTATTACTTCGAGTTTATATAGCGCCAAAGGGTTTGCTCAGCACTGTACAATAGAGGGGGGGACAATACATGGCACAGTACAACAACAACAAACAACGTACGAGGGGTAAGAGGGCCCTACTCTTTCGAGCTTACAATCTAGGTGGGAGGGGGTAAAGGTACATAGGAAGGAAGCGTCCCTCTTCCATTGATTCAAGCCAAACTGGGCATCCCATAATTCATATTTCCCTATCCAAGTTGATTTCCCCTAATAAAACAATACAACCAACCCCAGGGACTGGTCATGGTCTTTGGATGCAAGTCTGTGAGAAATACCTGTTGCCTGGCTGTGCAGAAAGAGGCTTAAGGATACCCACTAGACAGCGGTCCCCACGAGGGTAGCGCTACACACGTAAGACTCTAATGTGAATCATAGCTAATGACTGTTCCTGTCTGTGGAGCCTTTGAATATTACATCAATTTGGCAGATCTCACAGGTAAAAGTCTCCAGAACCTAGCCAGTCTGGAATCTTGTAGATAACAGAATTTATATTAAAACTGACCATATACTGATCGAAATTCAGCCAGTTCAGCAGGGACCGGCAGAATTTCTGTCAGTGTGGGGCAGTTCCCTCTTGACAAATGTCAATTCGCATTCTGTTTGAAAAGACATGCTGGAAGATTTTTCTCATTTAGCGGCTGTTCCCAATGGGCTGATTGATGTACTCTAACATAAGCGGGAGCACACAATGCATCCAGGGGAAAAATCTGTTTATGTTTAGCTCATGGCTTTGGTTTAATTGTCCATGGCCAGCTTAAAATGGAAGATAAGATTAACTATAACTATTAAAAACACATTCCCTCCCTCCTTCTCCTACCTATCCTGCACACCCTACATAAAAAAGATCTATATACAGTCAGGTCCATAAATATTGGGACATCAACACAATTCTAACATTTTTGGCTCTATACACCACCACAATGGATTTGAAATGAAACAAATAAGATGTGCTTTAACTGCAGAATGTCAGCTTTAATTTGAGGGTATTTACATCCAAATCAGGTGAACGGCGTAGGAATTACAACAGTTTGCATATGTGCCTCCCACTTGTTAAGGGACCAAAAGTAATGGGACAGTTGGCTTCTCAGCTGTTCCATGGCCAGGTGTGTGTTATTCCCTCATTATCCCAATTACAATGAGCAGATGAAAGGTCCAGAGTTCATTTCAAGTGTGCTATTTGCATTTGGAATCTGTTGCTGTCAACTCTCAAGATGACATCCAAAGAGCTGTCACTATCAGTGAAGCAAGCCATCATTAGGCTGAAAAAAACAAAAAACCCATCAGAGAGATAGCAAAAACATTAGGCGTGGCCAAAACAACTGTTTGGAACATTCTTAAAAAGAAGGAACGCACCGGTGAGCTCAGCAACAGCAAACGACCCGGAAGACCACGGAAAACAACTGTGGTGGATGACCGAAGAATTCTTTCCCTGGTGAAGAAAACACCCTTCACAACAGTTGGCCAGATCAAGAACACTCTCCAGGAGGTAGGTGTATGTGTGTCAAAATCAACAATCAAGAGAAGACTTCACCAGAGTGAATATAGAGGGTTCACCACAAGATGGAAACCATTGGTGAGCCTCAAAAACAGGAAGGCCAGATTAGAGTTTGCCAAACGACATCTAAAAAAGCCTTCACAGTTCTGGAACAACATCCTATGGACAGATGAGACCAAGATCAACTTGTACCAGAGTGATGGGAAGAGAAGAGTATGGAGAAGGAAAGGAACTGCTGATGATCCTAAGCATACCACCTCATCAGTGAAGCATGGTGGTGGTAGTGTCATGGCGTGGGCATGTATGGCTGCCAATGGAACTGGTTCTCTTGTATTTATTGATGATGTGACTGCTGACAAAAGCAGCAGGATGAATTCTGAAGTGTTTCAGGCAATATTATATGCTCATATTCAGCCAAATGCTTCAGAACTCATTGGACGCCGCTTCACAGTGCAGATGGACAATGACCCAAAGCATACTGCAAAAGCAACCAAAGAGTTTTTTAAGGGAAAGAAGTGGAATGTTATGCAATGGCCAAGTCAATCACCTGACCTGAATCCGATTGAGCATGCATTTCACTTGCTGAAGACCAAACTGAAGGGAAAATGCTCCAAGAACAAGCAGGAACTGAAGACAGTTGCAGTAGAGGCCTGGCAGAGCATCACCAGGGAGGAAACTCAGCGTCTGGTGATATCTAAGCGTTCCAGACTTCACGCTGTAATTGACTGCAAAGGATTTGAAACCAAGTATTAAAAAGTGAAAGTTTGATTTATAATTATTATTCTGTCCCATTACTTTTGGTCCCTTAACAAGTGGGAGGCACATATGCAAACTGTTGTAATTCCTACACTGTTCACCTGATTTGGATGTAAATACCCTCAAATTAAAGCTGACAGTCTGCAGTTAAAGCACATCTTGTTTGTTTCATGTCAAATCCATTGTGGTGGTGTATAGAGCCAAAAATTTTAGAATTGTGTTGCTGTCCCAATATTTATGGACCTGACTGTATGTACCTTTTATAACCCTGTCTGGTCCAGTCCTGTGATCCAGCAGCTCCTTCTCCCCTGTGCCAGACAGCTGCAGAGAAGAGGACAGACCACCAACAACTGAGGGACCTTTGGAGTCTATGGGTGATGGGAATGGGGAATTCACAGACGTTGTCATGTGCTCCCTTACACAGGGGTGCCTGAGCTGCTGGATCACATGACTGGACCAGATTGGATTAAAAAAAGATATGTACGGATTCATGAAAGACAAACGTTGTCAAGCAAATCTGATTTCTTTTTATGAGGAGGATTGCTTTAAAAAAGGCCTGGATTCTTTCTTGGATACACAGAATACAACTGTATACTATTTGTAGGTAAAGTTTATCCAGGGAATATCCGATTTTTTTCCCCTATGTGATGAAAAAGAAAAGTTAAAAAAAATGTTTTTTTTTTTATTGTACAAAATGAAAGTTACACCCAAGCACATACAATCCCCCCCCCCACATATACGCACGTACAAACGTAAAAGAACACGCTAGGGCACCTACACATGAAACCATTGATTGCGATATACATGTTACATATCACCT